GGTTGCAATGACCTAATGATCACACCACTGCACTCCAGCCTGGGCGACACAGTGAGACTTTGTCTCAAAAAGAGAAAGAGAGAGAGAAAGATTTCTGGGCAGCATGTAACATCATAACTTCACTGCAATGACATATTTGCAAAGTTTAATAATCTTGGCAGATCTAGATTGTATTTGAGTATTCTAAAATTTTGAAATCAAGTAGTTTTAATCATAGACCACATAATTATCTTGTATTTTGCCTAAATATGACTGTCGTTTTTCTGGTAAATAGGGCAATAAAATGTAAGAAAAGAGCAGGGGGACTTTGGAGCCTGAAAGTCCTGTTTACATATTTCATCACCTTTGAGCTCTATGAACCTGGGCACATCACTTAAACTCTGAAATACAGTTTGTTTTATTATTATTATTATTATTATTATTGTACTTTAAGTTCTAGGGTACATGTACACAATGTTCAGGTTTGTTACATAGGTATACATATGCTGTGTTGGTTTGTTGCACCCATCAGCTAGTCATTTACATTAGGTGAAATACCATTTTTTGAACTGTAAAATGGGAGACAATAATAATATCTACCTGACAGGATAGTTGCGTACCTCACAAACTAGTTCACAAAATAACCTTGAGAATGTTTAATACATGGTTGGTATACATTAGACATTCAGCAAAGCGTGGTTTTTAAAATTGCTCATCACTTGAAGTATACTTTTCTTTACACTATGTTTTTATGAAATGAGTGATGAGGATTCCCTTAATAAATTGTTCTCAGAGGGATTTCAGGTTCTGATAATATTTGATTAGAACTTAGTTTGTAAATTGTATTTATTTAGGTATGTTGTGGGTTTAATGTTCTTGACTGCTGTGACTCGTACACTCATTGGGTTGGAAAACTGGTTCCATCTTAGAATTAGTCGAATACTTCTATTCCAAGATATCTTTTGTAGAAATATGTATCCTATTATGTACACTGGAGAAATCAGACTAAATGAAAAATACTCTTCTTACAAATTAAATTATATGCAATCATCTTCAATCATTAATGAAGGGACGTTTCATGTCCAGAATGCCATATGTACATGAATTGTTTTTGATACCCTTTGAGCAGGGTTATTTGGAGGAAGTTGGGAATACAGGCAATATAGAGTCAAGACAAGTAAATAAATATACTTGTCTTGTATAGGAAGATGAAATGATAGTAATTGGGTATTCACGTTATTATAGATTTCATCTGATTATTGAATACTTTTTAATGAAGTGCTTGTATGGTTTATGACATTTGTTTTAATCTCATTAATTACTTGATTCCAACTCCATGAGTCATTTAGGCACCATTGAACTCTTACAATTTTCATGAACTTTTATGAGCCATCAGATTTTTATTTTTTGTGAAAATATTCAGTAGTAATGTTTTTAATGTATATATTTCCAAATTAAGTATAAGAATAAGGCATTAATCGTAAGTAAGGATGAGTTGTTCTTTTTTGTTTCATCAGCCTAGTGTTCACCACAAGGATGAGTTTTTGTGTGAAGGCCATTTTATAGTCACACAGTGAAAGTTACCTTTCCTCTGATTCTTTCTGAATAACAATGTTGTTATGATGTGATACCTCTATAAAACATTTTAGAATTTGAAATGTACCTCGCTTGTACTTTCCCAGATCTTTGAGTCGTCTGTGCAAATAGAGTAAATTTTTCTGTGAATGCAGAAGGAATATATTAACATAGTCTGTAGGTTAAATAACTTCAACAAATGCCACAGTAAAAAAGGACATTGAGAGAAGTTGAGCTTTCTTCTGCTGAAGGAGTCTGTTAATCTAATCTTCATGTGTCAAATCATTTATTTACTTTCACATGAAGTATGTATAGTGTTAGAAGTAAGTACAGTGTTAGAAGCCTAATTTTAGCAGAAGAGATAAATACCCTTTAGATATCAATAAAATAATTATCTAAATTAAAAATAGAATAATTTATTGTTAACTATTAATGATCTTGATATTCTGTTAAGTGTTCCTATTCTAACTTTGGAATATAGTGTGTTTTAGTTTAGTTCTGGTGAATAATCTTTTATAACCAATTTATATGATGTTAAACTTTCCAATTTATTAATATTGATAAGTTTTACGTTTATTATAGCATAGATATGTTTTGAAAAATAGTCGTGTATTAATAGTATTTTAAGAATTCAATATATATGAGTTCAAGTATAACATTTGCTTGTCTGAATTAGAGAAAAATGAAACAGCAGTGGCTAACTAAAGTATTAGATGAAATTTTATAAACATAATTATTACAAACTGATAACTGATTCATGTAATACTGACATCATCACTCCTTAAAGGAATATTCATTGCTTTATATCATATTTGAAGAAGCAGTAGTCCCCTTATCCCTGTTTTTACTTTCTGTAGTCAACCATTATCTGAAAATATTAAATGGAAAATTCCAGAATAAACAATTCGTAAGTTTTAAATTGTGCCTTGTTCTGGGTAGCATGGGGAAGTCTTGCCGCATCCCATTCATCCCACCCAAGATGTGGATCATCCCTTTGAACATACAGTAGATCCACACCATATACTCTGTCCATCTCGTATTCACTTAGTCTGTCTACCTTATCAGATCAAAAAAACATAGTGTACATGGGGTTCAATACTATTTATGATTTCAGGCATCCACTGGGGTTCTTGGAACATATCCCCTGTGGATTAAGGAAGACTACTGTATTCATAAACATCCATTTCGTTACACCAGTAGGCTACAGTAAAATATTTTAGAGGACACATCAGAATGTTTCATTTCAGGATCAAGGAAAGCTAATTGCAATTTAGAAGTATTTAATTTGAAAGTTATTGCAAATGACTTGATATTAATAATCTTTTCTTCCAATTAAAAATAAATTTTTTTAGAGACATGGTTCTCAGTATGTTGCCCACAGTGGAGTGTGGTGGCAATTAATGGGTGTGCCAGTAGTGCCCTATATCCTCAAACTCCTGGGCTCAAGCAATCCTCCTGCCTTAGCCTCCCTTGTAGCTGGGACTACAGGCATGCACAACTGCACATGTCTTATTGATATTAATAATCTTAATAGAGTTAGTACCCCTGCCTTCTAATAGTTTTCACCAATTGCAATATTGTTTTACCATAGAATTTTTTGTTTGTTTGTTTAACTTTAGCTTTGCTTTTCAGAAATTGTCCTTGGCTGGGTTCAGTGGCTCATGCCTGTAATCCCAGCACTTTGGGAGGCCAAGGCAGGTGGATCACCTGAGGTCAGGAGTTTGAGACCAACTTGGGCATGTGATGTTCACCTATAATGTCCAGCTATCTTGGAGGCCTGATTCTCCTCAGGCAGGAGAATCACTTGAGCCTGGGAAGTGGAGGTTGCAGTGAGCCGAGATCACACCACTGCACTCCAGCCGGGGCACAGAACAAGACTTTTTCTCAAAAACAAACAAACAGAAAACATCATCCTTATGATAAGGCAAAATAACAAACTCTGATAAAGAACACTTGGTTAGGATTTTTACTTTTCAAAGTGTTGGCCCATGTGGATCTAAACCTGTTTCTGGCCTGTCTATCCTATGCTTTTCTTTTTTTTTTTTTTTTTTTTGAGACGGAGTCTCGCGCTGTGTCACCCAGGCTGGAGTGCAGTGGCGATTCTCGGCTCACTGCAAGCTCCGCCTCCCAGGTTCACGCCATCTCCTGCCCAGCCTCCGAGTAGCTGGGACTACAGGCGCCCGCCACCACGCCCGGCTAGTTTTTTTTTTTTTTTTGTATTTTTAGTAGAGACGGGGTTTCACCATGTTAGCCAGATGGTCTGGATCTCCTGACCTCGTGATCCACCGCCCGGCTCCCAAAGTGCTGGGATACAGGCTTTGAGCCACCGTGGCCCGCCTATCCTATGCTTTCAACAGCAATAAATCCATTATCTTGGATTCCTTTAACATAGAAGTGTGAATAATTAAGATTTGGGAGATACCACAGTTGGTTTTGGCACTGGTTAAGGGGAAAGAGGGATTACTAAGTGGATTAGTTGATATTTAATTTCTCCACTAGGTCAACCCTGAAGACATATTCTGTTATTCCTTCCTCCCTACCAAAAAAATCTGTGTTAGAGATTACGCTAGAGATGGGCAGTCATAGTTATAGAAATCTCCACGGCCGGGCGCGGTGGCTCAAGCCTGTAATCCCAGCACTTTGGAGGCCGAGACGGGCGGATCACGAGGCAGGAGATCAAGACCATCCTGGCTAACCCGGTGAAACCCCGTCTCTACTAAAAAATACAAAACACTAGCCAGGCGAGGTGGCGGGCGCCTGTAGTCCAGCTACTACAGGAGCTGAGGCAGGAGAATGGTGTGAACCCAGGAGGTGGAGCTTGCAGTGAGCTGAGATCTGAGATCCGGCCACTGCAACTCCAGCCTGGGCACAGAGCGAGATCCGTCCTCACCAAAAAAAAAAAAAAAAAAAAAGAAAATCTCCACATCGGTCAGTGTTGGCATAGCTGTCATAGTACTAGCCCCAGAGGAATGTTCGTGAGGGAGTGTTCTTACCTGTTTATCTCCTCCTGCCACTTACCTTGCTCATCCACTTCAAGACATTTCTACCAGTAAATTGTTTTACTTGAAAATGAATAGGGCTTAATAAAAAAAATTATTTAAACTATTTTAAGGAAGCCTTTCATAGAAGAGGATTTACTGAGGTTTATACTTCTGAAGAGCAACAGAAACTGCACTTAGAACTTTAATTCACTTAAGTGAAAATGTATATATGTAGTTCAGTGTCTTCTGCATTGTAAGCACTCAGATGTGTGAGGAATGATTGACATTTGAAATGGTCATTATGTCTCTTACATATTTTAAATTAATCTGTGTATCTGTGTTTGCCAATGATGCATTTTCCCTAGGAATAAAAGACATACACATGAATACAGTTAACAGAAATATTGTTAGCTAAATAAAATTATGTCTAAGATCATAATATATCAGGAAATTGTTTTTATACAGGTAAATGGTTGCAGTTTTGTGATGAAAACAAGAAAACCTACAAATTTATTAAGGGTACGGTATTTAAAACTACTCGTGATACTAATGTTGTATACTATTTAAAATCATCTGGCTTACTAACAAAACTTTTTCCTGCATGTACTTCTTTCTGTGTGTGATTTCAAATTAATTTTAATGTTTACTAAAACAAAGTTATCTACCATTTATTACAAAACTCTATTGTAGACCAGGCATGGTGGCTCACATCTTTAATCCCAGCACTTTGGGAGGCTGAGGCAGGTGGATCACTGAGATCAGGAGTTCGAGACCAGCCTGACCAACAAAGTGAAACCCCATCTCTACTATAAGTACTAAAATTAGCCAGACGTGGTGGCAGCCGCCTGTAGTCCCAAGCTTCCCAAGCTACTCGGGAGGGTGAGACAAGAGAATTGCTTGAACCCGGGAAGCAGAAGTTGCAGTGAGCTGAGATTGCGCCACTGCACTCCAACCTGGGTGACGGAGCAAGACCCTGTCAAAAAAAGAATACTCAGTTGTAACAGAATTTGCGGATAGCCTGTTTATATTCTTGAGGTAAATGCCATGTTAACAAAGTAGGTTGCCATACTGTAATCTTCCAGGTGGTGAGTGATGTTTTAAAGTGGACCTTGCTGTGGATTTCAGTATTTTAATCTCTCTCCCTAAGGAATATTGCTAGTACTGAATTCTTTAAAATCTTGGATTGATTTAGGAAGAAGAATTTGGTGTTGATGATTCTTATTCTGAACAAGGAGCACAGTACAGTCTGACTCACCTAGACATGATGGAAAGTGAGTTGGCTGGGAAGCAGCATGAGATTGAAGAGCTAAACAGAGAGCTGGAAGAAATGAGGGTTACCTATGGGACTGAAGGACTGCAGCAGGTATGTTTATTTTCTGTGGCTTTTGATTTGCTACTCACAAAAACAGAAGCAGGAGCTGGAACTGTGAATAATAGTGGTCTTTAAAGATGTTTTTTTCTTTTTTTTTTTTTTAACTTTTTGCTTTTTTTTTTTTTCATACAGGGTCTTGTTGTGTCTCCCAGGCTGGAGTGTAGTGGTGCAGTCTCGGCCCACTGCATCCTCTGCCTTCTGGGCTCAAGTGATCCTCCCACCTCAGCCTTCTGAGTAACTGGGACTATAGGCATGCACTAACACACCCAGCTAATTTTTTGCAGAGACGGGGTGTCACCTCAAATTCCTGGACTCCCCTTGGCCTCCCAAAGTGCTAGGATTACAGGCGTGAGCTACCATGCCTGGCCTAAAGAAGGGGGTTTTCAAATGGTAACTTAGTGGGACACAGTGGCATGCCCCTGTAGTTCTAGTTACTCAGGAGGCTGAGGTGGGAGGATCGCTTGACCCATGAGTTCAGGTCCAACCTGGGCAACATTGAGAGTCCCTGTCTCTTAAACAGAAAACTAAATGGTAACGATATCACTTACAATTTTTGTTCTTATACACAGCATAAATAACCCTGCTTAAAAGTAGGATTTCATTAACAGAGTTGATATAACACAGATTCTTTTTTAACTTTATGATAAATCACTTTAGTAAGACAGATGTTTTTGTAATCAGCCTGAGAGAAAATTATGGTGCAAACCACATCAAAATATAACAAGTCCGTTAAGAATGTCAGCAAGTTGGGCATGGTGGCTCATGCCTGTAATCCTAGTACTTCATGAGGCTGAGGCAAGAGGATAACTTGAGTCTAGTAGTTTGAGACTGGCCTGGTGAAAATAGCAAGACCCCGCTTCTACAAAAAATTTAAAAATTAGCCAGGCATAGTGGTGTATGCCTGTAGTCCTAGTTACTTGGGAGGCTGAAATTGGAAGATCAGTTCAGCCCAGGAGATTGAGGCAGTAGTGAGCCAAAATCACACCACTGCACTCTAACCTGTGCAACAGAGCGAGACCCTGTCTCAAAAAAGAAAACAATGTCAGTGGGTCCTTGTAAGTAACCTCTTGTGGTTAGACTAACATCTGTAGTTAGACTGCCATAACTATCTATGGCAGTCAGTTATGAAAACAAGGTGAAATAGGATGTTGATGAGGATGACAAAATACATTTCAGTCTCATCCTCTTCAGAAACAAGTTGGAATTAAACATGTCTAGGGTGGTGTTGCCTGGGAACAGATTAGGGGCACCCCTAAATATAAAGGCACTTGTCCTTCTATAAGTAAATGTATGGATTAGTCAGATCAAATATAATTTTTTCCTTAGTTCAGAAAAATTTTTTGAAGTTGATTTGGAAGCACCAATTTCTATAAGTTAATAGTTTTCAAATGTGGAAAAGACTGCTTACAAAATGTAAGAGTTCTGCCAATGTGTTTTGAATTCTTATTTTGAAAAAGTTGCCTGTAATAATAGTCAATTTTTTAAAAAAATAAATCTAGCACTTACTATTTTCTTTTAGTTACAAGAATTTGAAGCTGCCATTAAACAAAGAGATGGCATTATAACCCAGCTCACTGCTAATTTACAACAAGCAAGAAGAGAAAAGGATGAGACAATGAGAGAATTTTTAGAGTTGACAGAACAGAGTCAAAAATTACAGATTCAGTTTCAGCAAGTAAGTGTTACTAATGCAACAAAATTCATTAGTTTTTTAGTAATGAATTTTAAAAATTCAAGAGCAAATCTAAATTTGTTGAAAAGCCATTTCTTATATCATGTATGAAAAATTAGTGAATATGTGTTGCTATGTTAACCAGAAATTTAATTCATATTTCTTAAATGGTTTTCTACTAATATTTCCTTTGTATTTCCTCCCTGTCTCTATTTTGAAATCTTACATATCTTATAAGGTTGATTGAGGGTATTTCTGCAGAAATTAACCTGTAGTCACATCCTACCTTTGCCAATTCTGGTATGGTTTATTTTAGTTAGGTTCTAAATGATAATAAGACTAAATATATTCCATTTTCTTTTAATTAGAGCCACAGGAATCTAATTGCATTAATCAGAATTTCTGATGGCAAGTAGCAAAACAATTTGAAATAGCTGAAGCAAAAGGGAGGTATTTAGTGTAAGGATTCAGGCTGTTTCCAGAATCCAAGGGCAGAAATACAACCAGTCCTCTGAAAGGGATTAGAACTACAAACTGGAAAGCCACGGAGAATTTGGGAAGTACTGTCTTTGAGGCCTCACTTTTCTTCCCATATCTACCTCAGTCTCAGGAGACCTAGCTTCTCTGCTGTATCATGGAAAAGATAATTTTATTGGCTCGGCTTGGGTATACCTATCTAGTTAGCCAAGGTAGCATGTTTGCTAGGGTCTCAAGCCTGCAAAGTTCCCAGAGAGCTATTGCAGGCACACCCCAAAGGTGTCTATTCCCTAATACAGTCACTTCAGAATTTAACATTTTGAGGTTTCTATTTTCAGTTGCAGGCTAGTGAAACTCTGAGAAACAGCACTCATAGTAGCACAGCTGCAGACTTACTACAAGCCAAACAACAGATCCGCACTCATCAACAGCAGCTTGAAGAACAAGACCACTTACTAGAAGATTATCAGAAAAAGAAAGAAGACTTCACAATGCAAATTAGTTTCTTGCAAGAAAAAATTAAAGTATATGAAATGGTATGTTTATTTTAAGGAAGTCAGCTAACTTGTAGAAGCTTTACAGTTTAAAGTTTTTTATGCAAGTGGCTTTTTTTGTTAGGCACATGAATCACAAAATTTCATAATTAAGCTCTTTGTGTAATTATTTCAAAAGCAAATGGGAATCTCAGTAATAGAGTTTTTAAGATAATAGTCATTACTGAGTTCCCTAAAAGTGATCAACCTATGTTAAACTGAATTAGCAGGAAAATCTGAATTTATAACTATAGTTTTTTTTGTCATTTATAATTATTTCCACTTATTTTAGCCATGGTTGTGAAATTCAGAAAATATTTTCACAACAGAAAGAAATTTTATGGATTTTAATGAGAAAAAAATCGAATATAGTCAGTTCTCTTTATTTACATAAGTTATGTTCCATAGACTTAAGTTTCTGGGAACACTTATTTAGCAAATAAGTTCTCTGGTGGGGGGTTGGTGGAGGAAGTATGTGTCTGTGTATGGGTGTGTATATTTTACATATATGTATACCACATTGATTATAATCTTAAATCATAAAAACTACTCATCCTGGAAGATTGTTTCTTTATTTTTTAAAAGAGAAATCAAGGTTCAGAAGTGACTTGCTTGAGGCTGCCCCACTAACAGGTGTCAGACTGGGATTCAGATCCTGTCAGTTGCCCCAGAGCTGGAGCTTCCTATACTATACTGCACTGCCTCGGGTCCTCTCCATCCCTCTGGTCCTCTCTATAAGGGATGAACAAGGCAGTGTGGTCACCTTGTTTGACCTCAGCTAAAAGTGTATGTCCAGTAACTCAAATTTTTTGTCACTCTGTGCACACCTACAAATGACTGAAAGCACCATGAGCATTGATTTGGGTGTTACAAATGAATTTTTGCAAGAACTCACAAATATGGAATCTGCAAAGAATGAGGATGGATTGTACATGCAATATAATACTTTTTATAAACTTAGGAGGTTCTTCTGCAAGATGTTGAGAAATTACCAAGACAAGAATATTGTTTGGATAATAATAATAGTAGTAATTAGCATTTATTAAGTGCTTACTGTGTAATACACAGTATTCAAAGCATCTTACACATATTAACTCATTGAATCATCACCGTAGGCCTGTGCAATAGAAGTACCATTATCACTCCTATTTTCTAAATGAGGACACCAAGACAAAGCAAGATGAGGTAAATTGCTCTGGTCTACACAGGTAATAAGTTGATAGAGCCAGATTTCAAATCTAGGTTGTCTGACTCCAGAGACTGCTTTTAAATAATAGGGAGTGTACAAATTGGTGACAATGATATTATGAAAAATACGTGCTTTACAACTATAAGGTAATTTAAAAGTAATTAGGTAAGTGTTTACAGAACACCTATTTTTGTAGCAGGCCCTTGAAAGAAATACAGTGAGGCTTAAAGTGTGCCCTTTTCTTCACTGGAACTCATAGATTAGTAGGAGAGCTATGGCATGTACAAAGGACACCACAAAACCAGGATAAATGTGGGCCAAAAGTGCTTTGAAAGTTCTGAATAGGTCTGGCTTCATGAGAGAAGAGATTCAGGGTAGGCTTTAGTGGAGGAGTTTCTATTTCAGTTAAGTTTGTAAGTTGGAACACCCCCTTTTTAATTGTATTTTGTTTCCCCAGCAGTTGGTCTAATGCATAGAACATAGTAGCTACTCAATACTTACTTCGTAAACAAGTGGATAAATTAAGGATCTCAACTGATAGAAATGGGGAGAACATTTTAGACAGAGTGTGGAGTAGGCATAAAGACTTAGGATGAAACATGTTAAAAATCAGTAAGGATCAAAAAATGGTGTAATTTATCTAGAAACAGTAGTCTTTGAAGGTTAATCTTTCCAGGAGGGAAGAGTAGATAATCTAGGGCTCGGTGAGAAGAGCCTGGAGATTGGATTGTATTATATTTACTCTGTGGGCCATATAAATTGAGATTATCTAAAATTCAAGTAATTCGTTTTTGTAGGGGGAATAACCTTTGTTTATTTGAATGTAACAAGAATACTTTTATCAATCTGTTTTTTCACTATATACATATTTTTAAAATTTTTATTCTTAAGAAAATGAATCCCCCCGAGTAATAGTTCTATTGGCAGCTGAGAGGCATTAGGGTCAGCTAAGGCATTAGGGTCAGAAATGAAATGGTCTTTGTTCCCTAGACCAGTGGTCCCCAACCTTTTTGGCACCAAGGACCAGTTTCATGGAAGACACTTTTTCCACAGACTTGGGGGAGGAATGGTTTGGGGATGACATCAGGCATTAGTTAGATTCGTATAAGGAGCTTGCAACCTAGATCCTTCACATGGACAGTTCACAATAAGGTTTGAGCTCCTATGAGAATCTAATGCTGCAGCTGATCTGACAGAGGCGAGCTTACTGCTCGCTTACCTCCTGCTGTGGAGCCCAGTCCTTAACAGGCCCCAACCGGTACTGGGTCCGCAGCCTGGAGGTTGGGGACCCCTTCCTCACACAACTGTGTCGATGATCAAAAGCTCATTCTCATTGTCCTAATCCTGCAAACTTCCTATCGTGCCATAGCATATTATTCCCCACCATCTCAGGTGTATTTCCAAAAGATAGTGTATTCAACCACAAGGCTTTTTTTTTTTTTTTAAGACCACAAAATATAAGTGGTTTAAAACCATGTACTTTGAAATGAGTGACACTAACAAAAATAAACCATAAGTTTGTGTTGTTTAATGGTTGAATGAAGAATTATTGTTGGTTGTTATTATATCAGGTGTTGGACAATTTTGAATTAAATGATACTGTTTTATGAAGACTCCCCTCCCTTACGGAAATCAGGAAACAGAAAAGTTAGATTTTATAACATTAACATTTTTCAAACTTAGTTACTTATTTAACAGTTTAACTGGAATTGACCACCATGAACCGATTTTACTTTCTCATAGGCTCCAAATGTGTTATAGATTTCTTTCTAGTATGTAAATATATTATACTTGTATATATTAATAGTGCAGTAAGAATAAAATACCTTAATAGATGATATTTTATTTTAGCATATTCTGTGAGATAGAGGAAATAATATTATCTTTATTGTATGGATGAAAACACTGGGATTCAAGGAGATTAAACTGATTTACTAATATCCTGTTGTAGTGCAGAGTTTGAAGTAAGAAGGCTCAGGACTTGGTAATAACATGGTAATATTGGATGGGATATGTGATACTAAGACAAAAGCTGATAGAATTTTGCCCAAGAGGCTGCACAGGATAACATTCATTGCCTTGGTTAATTTGTATAGTACAGAATCTGGCCTTCAACTTGTAGGTTCAGAAGTCTGATTTTTTTTTTTTCCCCTGTCAACTGAGACGAGCTACCTCAGAAGTGAACTCAGATTTTCCAAGTTCATGAGACTAATTTTTTTTGTTTGTTTTGAGACAGAGTCTCGCTCTGTCTCACAGGCTGGAGTCCAATGGTGAGATCTCAGCTCACTGCAACCTCTGTCCTCCAGGTTCATGTGATTCTCCTGCCTTAGCCTCCTGAGTAGCTGGGATCACAGTTGCCCACCCTCACACCCAGCTAATTTTTGTATTTTTAGTAGAGACGGGGTTTCACCATGAGGCTAATGTTTAAAGCTTGAATAAGATTATTAATTTACAATGAGAAATCATTATCACAGGGACCTAAATATTTCAAGTTCATTGGATTTTTATATTATTTCCATGGGCAGATGAATTTTAAAAGTCAAATAATAATTATGAAGTTAGTTAGTGACCATGAGATCAAAAGGTTTTAGAGGAATCACATGTTCAGGGGCATTAGGTTGCGATAACCTGATCTATCTCTCTCACAGTAGGAATGATCATGCCTATAGATGGGAATTCTTAAATGCTGTTTGCTACAAGCCCTGACGTTTCTTTCTACGTTAGGTAATGTTTTTTCTAGAGCGACCAGAATTCTCAAAGGCTGTATTTGAATGGGCACTGCCAACATTTCCCTCTGAGGCTTTTCTTTTTCTCAGCCTTGACGTTTCTTCTTTAGATAAGTTAATACATTCATTCAAGGCACCTTTGAGTCCTGTTTGCCTGGGACTCCTGTCTCCTTAAAATAATTTTACTTACCTACTTATGTTCTGATCCATTCTGTAGATTTCATGTATTTATTTGTTTTTGAGACTATAGCCCTCTGTTACTTACAGAAGCAACTAAGTTACTGAAGCAAAACTTTGACCGAGGGCCTCTGCTTGACTTTGTCATGCTGAAGTAATCACGATAACAAATATGCCTTGGCCTGTGTCTGCGCTTAGCCTTGTCTCCGTTCCAGAATAGAATCCCAAATAAGAACTGGGGGAGAGTATCTGCTTTGCTTTCAAAATTCTGTTTAAACCAAAAGTTTAGGACCAAGTTGATATGCCATAAATGGTATAGTTGTCTTAGATGTCACTTGAGGTTCAACCTTTTAAGCATTGCATATCTCTAAATTTCTGACTGACTTAAGAGCCCAGGACTGAAGTTAAGACAGACCATTAGGAATCTGTTTTTGTTGTTTTTCTTTTCCGTAGCCCTTGCCCATGACACACATTGAAGTCACCAGAATACATGTGAGGAACTTTGATTTGTTTTTATCTTTGTGAATGTGTTTAGAGTATATGCAGTACTTTAGCTATAGAGAATACTAAATATTTAGAATGTTGATCAGTTAATAAGAAAAATGAGAATATAACAGTTTGGAGACATCTAAAATCAGACTGGGTTTTTAAACTAAAAATTTTAATCACAGAAATGTTAAGAGAAATTTCTTCTAAGAAGGCCATAACTACTGTAGTGTTTGCTCACAAGTAGGGTTGGGTACACGAGTTCTAGGTCTCATTATTGTGGAAAAAATTGAGGGGCAGGACCAACATTTACTTTTTGTAGAATTTTTTAAAAAGGAAACTTCTATCAATCTTTTGGTAATGAGATGAAGCGGTATAATTTGCCAGAAGCTAAAAATGCCATCTTACATTTTCATTTTTTTCCCTAAAGGAACAAGATAAAAAAGTAGAAAACTCAAATAAAGAAGAAATACAGGAAAAGGAGACAATCATTGAAGAATTAAACACAAAAATAATAGAAGAAGAAAAGAAAACTCTTGAGCTAAAGGATAAATTAACAGCTGCTGATAAATTACTAGGAGAATTACAAGAACAGGTTGTGCAAAAGAACCAAGAAATAAAAAATATGAAATTAGAGCTGACTAATTCTAAGCAAAAAGAAAGACAATCTTCTGAAGAAATAAAACAGTTAATGGGGACAGTCGAAGAACTTCAGAAGAGAAATCATAAAGACAGCCAGTTCGAAACTGATATAGTACAACGAATGGAACAAGAAACACAAAGAAAGTTAGAACAACTCCGAGCAGAGCTGGATGAGATGTATGGGCAGCAGATAGTGCAAATGAAACAAGAATTAATAAGACAACACGTGTCACAGATGGAGGAACTTAAAACACGGCATAAGGGAGAAATGGAGAATGCTTTAAGGTCATATCCAAATATTGTAGTTAATGAAGATCAGATAAAGTTAATGAATGTGGCAATAAATGAACTGAATATAAAATTGCAAGATACTAACTCTCAAAAGGAAAAACTCAAGGAAGAACTAGGAGTAATTTTAGAAGAAAAGTGTGCTCTGCAGAGACAGCTTGAAGACCTTTTTGAAGAATTGAGCTTTTCAAGGGAACAAATTCAGAGAGCTAGACAGACAATAGCTGAACAAGAAAGTAAACTGAATGAAGCACAAAAGTCCCTTAGTACAGTGGAAGATTTGAAAGCTGAGATTGTTTCTGCATCTGAATCCCGAAAGGAACTAGAATTAAAACATGAAGCAGAAGTTACAAATTATAAGATAAAACTTGAAATGTTAGAAAAAGAAAAGAATGCTGTGTTAGACAGAATGGCTGAATCACAAGAAGCTGAATTAGAGAGGCTGAGAACACAGCTTCTATTTAGTCATGAAGAAGAACTTTCCAAACTGAAGGAAGATTTAGAAATTGAACATCGAATAAATATTGAAAAACTTAAAGATAATTTAGGCATTCACTATAAACAGCAGATAGATGGTTTACAGAATGAAATGAGTCAAAAGATAGAAACCATGCAGTTTGAAAAAGACAATTTGATAACTAAGCAGAATCAATTAATTTTGGAAATTTCGAAGCTAAAAGATTTACAGCAGTCTCTTGTAAATTCAAAGTCAGAAGAAATGACTCTTCAAATCAATGAACTTCAAAAAGAAATTGAAATACTCAGACAAGAAGAAAAGGAAAAGGGTACACTTGAACAGGAAGTTCAAGAATTACAACTTAAAACAGAACTATTAGAAAAACAGATGAAGGAAAAAGAGAATGATCTTCAAGAAAAATTCACACAACTTGAAGCAGAGAATAGCATTCTTAAAGATGAAAAGAAAGCTCTTGAAGACATGTTGAAAATACATACTCCTGATAACCAAGAAGAAAGATTGATTTTCATAGACTCCATTAAGTCCAAATCCAAAGACTCTGTCTGGGAAAAAGAAATAGAAATACTTACAGAGGAAAATGAGGACCTCAAACAGCAATGTATTCAGCTAAATGAAGAGATTGAAAAGCAAAGGAACACTTTTTCATTTGCGGAAAAAAACTTTGAAGTTAACTATCAAGAGTTACAAGAGGAATATGCTTGCCTTCTCAAAGTAAAAGATGATTTAGAAGACAGTAAAAATAAACAGGAATTAGAGTATAAAAGTAAGCTTAAAGCACTTAATGAAGAGCTTCATTTGCAAAGAATAAATCCAACTACAGTGAAAACGAAAAGTTCTGTCTTTGATGAAGACAAAACTTTTGTAGCAGAAACATTGGAAATGGGTGAGGTTGTTGAGAAGGATACAACAGAACTCATGGAAAAACTTGAGGTAACCAAGCGAGAGAAATTAGAGCTGTCACAGAGACTAGCTGATCTTTCTGAACAATTGAAACAGAAACATGGTGAGATTAGTTTTCTAAATGAAGAAGTTAAATCTTTAAAGCAAGAGAAAGAACAAGTTTTATTGAGATGTAGAGAGCTAGAAATCATTATTAACCACAACAGGGCAGAAAATGTACAGTCATGTGATACTCAAGTAAGCTCTTTATCAGATGGAGTTGTGACTATGACAAGCAGAGATGCTGAAGGATCAGTTTCTAAAGTAAATAAAAGTTTTGGTGAAGAATCAAAAATAATGGTGGAAGATAAAGTTTCTTTTGAAAATATGACTACTGGAAAAGAAAGTAAGCAAGAACAGTTGATTTTGGATCACTTACCATCTGTTACAAAGGAATCATCACTTAGAGCAGCTCAACCAAGTGAAAATGATAAACTTCAGAAAGAACTCAATGTACTTAAATCAGAACAGGTATGTTTACTTATTTACATATGGTAAAGCACAATGAAAATGTACGTTTCGGCCAGGCGCAGTGGCTCACGCCTGTAATCGTAGCACTTTGGGAGGTCAAGGCTGGCGGATCACAAGGTCAGGAGATCAAGACCATCCTGGCTAACATGGTGAAATCCTGTCTCTGCTAAAAACACAAAAAATTAGCTGGGCATGGTGGCGGGTGCCTGTAGTCCCAGCTGCTGGGGAGACTGAGGCAGGAAAATGGCGTGAACCCAGGAGGCAGAGCTTGCAGTGAGCCAAGATCGTGCCACTGCGCTCTAGCCTGGACAAGAGAGTGAGACTCTGTCTCAAAAAAAAAAAAAGAGAGAAAAAAAGAAAATGTACATTTCACACTAAGGTTTCACCTTCATAAAACATAAATTCATATCCTTAGAAGAGAATGAAAATGAACCCTCTAATGTAATTTTAACTTGAGCCTATCATTTATTTATCATTTAAGTATTTTTTTTAAACCATTGTTGACTTTCTTTCAATCTATGTTGCATATTCTGCTTAGGAAATAAAACACACTAATGGAGTCAGATTTTCTTTGGAAAGACAAGAGTTTGTATAACTTTGTGGAGAATCTCAGCATTAGAAAAGTTACTAATTTCATTTTATAATTTTTGTTATAATCTCAAAGATTTGTTTCAGTTTTTATTTCATAGTGATGTTTTCAAGTCTCCACAACTGAAAATGAACTCCTAAGCTTTTTAGTAGTCTTTATAGTTGTTAGGTGGTTATGAAATTATATTTTCCTGGAAGAAAGAAAACCCCTTGATTTAAGTCCTAGAGTTTTTTCAGAATCTTTGTTATACCTGAAGGGAAAAAAACAGTATTAACTCTAAATATAGTTAAAGAATTATATGTATATAATAACAGATCACTCCTGATAATTTATATTTGCCAGATACTGATATTAAAATAACAGGAAAATTCTGCTATCTACAGTGTAATGATGCTAACTAAAGTTTTATGTGTTTCTTCATTTATCTAACAAATGTTTATTGACTCTCTTGGCAAGGACGAATATAGTGGCCAACAAGAGAGAGGTTTCTGGTCTCAAAGAACATGTATTTTAGTCAGGGAGGCAGGTGATAAATGAAACACGTAGGATAGTTAGAAATAGTGATAACGTCTATGAAGAAATAGGATAATGTGATAGAGAATGATGGAGAGAGAGGGTAATAACAACATTAAATATGGTGGTCAGGAAAGGTCTGTAGGAGGAATTGACATTTGAACTGAGATCTGAATGACATTGAAGCTCTAAGTAGAGCAATTGTAAAGACATGGGTAAGTTTAAAGAACAAAATGAAGGCCTGTGTAGTTGAGTTTGAGAGAGCAAGAGAGTGGAAGAAGAGTTTGAAGGAGAAAGAGACCAGACCTTGGAGAATCTTACAGACTTTGGAAGTCATTGGAAAATTTTCTCTTTTTATTCCTAAATATATCATATTTGTGATCTTATATCAAATGTCGAGATATTTTATATTTATGATTTATATCAAATGTAGAGATATTTTATATATTTAATTGCCTAAATAGCGTCAAGAAATTCAAATTGCTTAACCGTTTTTGTTTTTTTTTTTTTTTTTTTTGAGGCCGAGTCTCACTCTGTCACCCAGGCTGAAATGCAGTGGCGTGATCTCAGCTCACTGCAACCTCTGCCTCCCAGGTGCAATCAATTCTCCTGCCTCAGCCTCCTGAGTAGCTGGGATTACAGGCATGCGCCATCACGCCTGGGTAATTTTTGTACTTTTAGTAGAGACAAGGTTTCACCATGTTGGCCAGATTGGTCTCAAACTTCTGACCTTAGGTGATCCAACAGCCTCGGCCTCCCAAAGTGCTGGGATTACAGGTGCGAGCCACTGCGCCTGGCCAAATTGCTTAACTATTAGTGTTCTGTTAAATGTCTGGAATTGTTTTCAAAACCATAATGTGTGGCAGTTACTTGTGAAAATGTCACACATCTTTTAATTTTTTTTAGAAAGCATTTTTGGAAGAAGACCTGCATTTGACCCTGAGCTGTCAAAATGGTCAAAGTTTCTTAGTAAGAATTCTAATTTTCTTTTTTTTGAGACAGGCTCTCACTGCTCTCCAGACTAGAATCTCATGGTGCAATCACAGCATCCTGCAGCCTTGACCTCCTGGACTCAGGTGATCCTTTCACTTCAGCCTCCTGAGTAGCTGGGATTACAGGCATGCACCACACACCCAGCTAGTTTTTTGTATTTTTTGTAGAGGCAGGGATTTGCCATGTTGCCCAGGCTGGTCTCAAACTCCTGGGCTTAAATTAAACGATCTTCTTGACTTGGCCTCCTAAAGTGCTGAAATTATAGGCATGAGTCTTTGTCCCCAGCCAGAATTCTGTTTTCTCTAATAAAGAGATACTAAAAAAATACTTCTGATGGCATTCAGATACCCTCTATGTGACATTGACTACATAAAGTAAAGGGGAGCAAGCCTGTAAACTTCCTGCCCATTCATCATTACCAAGACAGACCTCTTTATTGATGGAAAGGGAAGTTCACAGAAGAAATCGAGCAGTGACTTACACAATGGTAACACCTAAGAGCAGCCTAAATATGCTTGAAATAATGTGGATGCCACAAAAATATCTCTAATATACTTAGGAAGTTTGGGCAGAAGGAGAAAAATAAAAACATCATAGAAGTCTTTTCAGGGTTGGGATGCAAGGAAGAAGGAAGAGTGACAGGAATTTTATAGATACTGATTAATTATTGATGCGGGGAGAGGTCATAGATTGAAGTGTATGTGTTTAAACTCGAAGATAATTATTAGAATCAAAAGAGATACCGGAGCTTAGAAACTACAGCAGGAACCACTAGAATATGAACTCCTTGAGAACAGGGACCCAGTCTCCTGTATCTCTAGTGCCTAGAATAATGTCTAACACATGATAGGCAGTAAATAATTTTTTTAAATGAATGAATGAATGCATGAATAAAAGGGGGGGAATAAATAAAGCCCACTTATCAAGAACCAACAGTGAAATAGCACAGGCCTTCACGTTAGAGTCAGGAAGATCAGAATAGCTTTTGTCACTTGCTGTTCTGTTGTGTAGGTCCTAACCATTGCAAAGACAAAAAGATACGTGGTATGATTGGAGAGAAAGATACTTGTCATAATTCACATGTATAATTAAATTAAAAAATTAAACATGAGAAATGAAATTCTTTTTTTTTTTTTTTTTTAGACAGAGTCTCACTCTGTCGCCCAGGCTAGAGTGGATCTCAGCTCACTACAAATTCAGCCTATCGAGTAGCTGGGATTACAGGTGGCCACCACCACGCCTGGCTAATTTTTGTATTTTTAGTACAGATGGGGTTTCACCATGTTGGCCAGGCTGGTCTTGAACTACTGACCTCAAGTGATTTACATCTTTAATGTAAAATAAATATGAATAAGCCAATGTAAATAAAATTGTAACACTTTAATGAAGGATAAGAGACTTGAATAAATGAAAAGTCTCATTTCTGAGTGGGAAGATTTGAATATTGTAAAAATCCAGGTTATCTCTAGATTAATCTGTAATCCTTATGTAGTTCCATTCCAACTCACAATGAAAAGTTACTGAAATTCAGCTTAGTAATTGGTGTATAGTTGATCTGGAAGAAGAAATGCACAAGAGTCAAGAATATTTTTGAAAAACACAGAATAGTAATTGCTGTATAGTTGATCTGGAAGAAGAAATACACAAGAAGAGTCAAGAATATTTTTGAAAAACACAGAATAGTAATTGCTGTATAGTTGATCCGGAAGAAGAAATGCACAAGAAGAGTCAAGAATATTTTTGAAAAATGCAGAATGCATTTAACATGATATGTTGAATAACTTTAGCCTTAAATGTACTGATTTTATAAATATTGAAAATGAGTTAAGCTATTAGTTCTAGAAGCTAGAATATCAGAGCATGTAGACTTAAGAAAAGTAGAAAGAAGGAAATAATAAAGTTAAGAACAAAATAAGCAAACTTAGAATAACCAAAACAGGAAGAAGAGTTTTCAAGGATTTTGAAAGTTTATTATTTGTAAACACTAGTGGCTGGGCATGGTGGCTCACACCTGTAATCCCAGCACTTTGGGAGGCTGAAGTGGACAGATCACGAGGTCAGGAGTTCGAGACTGGCCTGACCAACATGGTGAAACCCCGTCTCTAATAAAAATAGAAAAATTAGCCAGGCGTGGGAGCACGTGCCTGTAATCCCAGCTATTCAGAAGGCTGAGGCAGGAGAATTTCTTGAACCTAGGAGACAGAGGTTGTAGTGAGCTGAGATTGCGCCACTGCACTCCAGCGTAGGTGACAGAGCAAGAAAGACTGTGTCTCAAAAATAAATAAATAAATAAAATAAAACAAAATAAACACTAGTAAAGTGTTGGACTTCCAAGAATATGGGCCAGTGGGTGCGGTGGCTCACACCTGTAATCCCAGCACTTTGGTAGGCCAAGGTGGGTGGATCCCAAGGTGAGACCAGGAGATCGAGACCATCCTGACTAACATGGTAAAAACCCCATCTCTACTAAAAATACAAAAAATTAGCTGGGCTGGTGGCATGTGCCTGTAATCCAGCTACTCAGGGACTGAGGCAGGAGAATGCTGAACCCAGGAGGTGGAGGTTGCAGTGAGCCAAGGTCGCGCCACTGCACTCCAGCCTGAGGTGACAAAGGGAGACTCCATCTCAAAAAAAAAAAAAAAAATATGGGCCACGGCAGGTGGCTCACGCCCTGTAATCCAGCCTTTGGCGAGGCTGAGGCCAGGTTGATCACGACGGTCATGGAGATCAGAGACCATCCTGGCCGACATTGGAAACCCTGTCTCGTACCTAAAAATACAAAGAAATAGCTGGGCGTGGTGGTGCGGCACTGTATCTCAGCTATTGGGAAGTTGAGGCGAGGAGAATTGCTTGAAACCCAGAGACGGAGTTGCACGTGAGCTAGATCGCGCCACTGCACGTCCAAGCCTAGCAAGCAGAGCGAGAGGACTCTGTCAGAAAAAAAAAAAAAAAGAGAAGAGTATGATCAGGAGAAAAAAAGACAAACCAAATGAGGCTGGTGCAGTGCTCGCACCTATAATCCAGTGCTTTGGATGGCTGAGACAGGAGGATTGCTGAGCCCAGGAGTTCAAGACCAACCTGGACAACATAGCAAGGTGCCTGTCTCCACAAAAAATTAAAAAATCAGCCAGGTATGATGGCATGTGCCTGTAGTCTCAGGTATTTGAGAGGCTGAGGTAGGAGAATGCTTCACCCCAGGAGTTAGAGGCTGCAGTGAGCTATGAGTTGCACCATTGTACTTCAGCCTGGGCGACAGAGTGAGACCTATTCTAAAACAAACAAAATCAAATGAATGACAAATAAAAACATAGGTATAGATACCTTAGAGGTTGTAAAAGAATACTATAAATAAGTCCATCAATGATTGTGAAATAGAGATGAACGGATGGTTTATCTGGAAGAATATAAACTACCTCAATCAACTCAAATAGAAATACAAAACCTGAATAAACCAATAACCATTAAATAATTTGAAATCATAGAGGTTTTCCCTCTCTCCTCTCCTCCAACCAAAAATATTAGACTGAGACCATTTTACAAGTGGGTCTTACCAACTCAACCAGTATGTAATTGCTTAATAAAATAGAATTAAAGAGAGAGAACTAGAGGGAAGAAAAGAAGGAAAGAAGAAAGGTAAGATAGACAAAAGAAAAACCCAGTTATCTTATGAGACTGATAAGAAGACCTGATAAGAACAGTACAAACAAATAAAATCATAGATGAATCTTACTTATGAGTGGTTGTAGAAATCCTAAATAAAATATTAGCAAATTATTCTTTTTTTTTTTTTTGAGACGGAGTCTCGCTCTGTCGCCCAGGCTGGAGTGCAGTGGCCGGATCTCAACTCACTGCAAGCTCCGCCTCCCGGGTTCACGCCATTCTCCTGCCTCAGCCTCCCGAGTAGCTGGGACTACAGGCGCCCGCCACCTCGCCTGGCTATTTTTTTGTATTTTTTATTAGAGACGGGGTTTCACCGTGTTAGCCAGGATGGTCTCGATCTCCTGACCTCGTGATCCACCCGTCTCAGCCTCCCAAAGTGCTGGGATTACAGGCTTGAGCCACCGCACCCGGCTGCAAATTATTCTAAGAATGGAAGAATAATTCAATATCTGAAAAATCTATTAATGTTAATTTCACATTCATAGATAGCAGGAAAAAAATGCATATGATCAATTTTATTTTTTATTTTGTTTTGTTTTTGAGATGGGATCTTGCTCTGTCACCCAGGCTGGAGTGCAGTGGGACAGTCACATTTCACTGTGGCTACAACCTCCCAGGCTCAAGTGATCCTCCCGATTCAGCCTCCCAACTAGCTGGGACCACATGCACATAGCACCATGCCCAGCTAAGATTTTTTAAAACATTTTTGTACAGACAGGAGGATCTCGCTGTGTTGCCCAGGCAGGTCTAAAATGTAGGGGATCAGTCAGGGTGGTGGGAGATAAAGTTATAGGAAATAGACACAAACCTTCTTGGAAGGCTGGGAGGTTTGCATAGCTTCAGTGAAAGATTTGATTGAAGGCAGCTGAATTCTATTAAAAGCTTAGGACGTAGGTACATAGTAATGTAAGGGAGTTTACCTAAAGAGCTTGTTTACTCATGTGGTCCTAAGACAGACCTTTGATCATTTGCAGGACTGCTCTCTCTGGGGAGGATGACCAGATTACCCACAAGTGTGTTGACTCAAAGCCTTTGTCATTAAATCTATGCTGAATAAATGCCCACAGGACCAGCTAGTCAGGGCATGCGGCTGCTGCAATTCTTTCTGTGAGCAGCCTGGCCCCCTAACCACTCTTTTACTGAATACTGGTGTCTGAGTACGTTATTCATCCATTGTGCAGCCTGAGTCTGCGGGTCAGACCTTGGCACTTTAACTCCTGGGCTCAAGCAGTTATTCCACATTGACCTCCCAAAGTGCTGGGATTACAGGAGTGAGCCATCATGCCTGGCCTTATTTTATTTTTTTAGAGACAAGTTCTTGCTCTTGCCAGGCTGGAGTGCAGTGGCATAATTATAGCTCACTGCAACCTTGAACTCCTGGACTCAGGCAGTCTTCCCATCTCAGCCTCCTAAGTAGTTGGGACTACAGGCACATATTACCACTCCTGGCTAATTTATTATTTTTTTTTTAGAGATGGGGTCTTTTTATGTTGCCCAGGCTGGTTTTGAATTCCTGGACTCAAGCGATGCTCCCACCTGAGCCTCCTGAGTAGCTGGGATTATAAGTACAAGTTACTGTGTCCAACCCCTATAATCATTTTAATATATATTGGAAAAGAATCCATAAAAAAACTAGTAACTCATAATTTTTTTTCAATGGAGAAAATCTGGAATAGAAGGGAAATTTCTTAACCGCAGTAATTGTTTTCATTAAAACATTTAGCAGATAACATTTCTAATAGTGAAATTTAGAAGCATTCTCCTTAATATCAAGTAAGTATAGAATAAAATATGATAGAAGCATTCCCATTAAAATTGAATATAGAATCAAGTGTAGGATACCTACTTTCAACATTACTATTTCAACATTGGTTTGTAGTTCCTAGCCAATGCAATTTGACAAGAATAAGAAATGAGATAAAGAATATGAAAACTTCTTTATGAATAACAAAATAAACCCTACACAAGATGTTTTGAACTTTTGTCAAGAAAATTATAAAACACTGAAGCATGTAAATATCTCACTATATGGCAATATGTACCATATTCATAGTGGAAAGATGTAAAGAAAAATGTCAGTTCTCTCCAAATTAATCTCTGTATTCAGTGTATTTCCAGTTATAATTACAAGGAAATTTTTCATGGATCTTGAAAAACTGATTGTAAAATTGATACAGACAAGTAAATACTCAAGAATAATCAATATTGAGTCCTAGAAAAATGTATTGCATCTGATAACAAGATTTACTACAAAATCATGATAGACAGTATGGTTTGATGCTAGAATGGACAAATAGATCAGTGGAGCGTAATGGAAAGCCCGAAACTCATTGAGATCCTTGTGAAATTTTAGTATATAGGAAAGAGACCCTACAAGTCAACTTTTATTTAATAATACTTAGTGAGCCTCTGCTGCATTCTACACAGTTTTATTCCCTGGTGATATAACAGTGAATAAAAACAAGTAGTAGGTGGGGTGCAGTAGCTCATGCCTGTAATCTCAGCACTTTGGAAGGATGGCTTGAGCCCAGGAGTTTCAGGCCAGCCTGGGCAACAGAGTGAGACCCCATCTTTACCTAAAAATAGAAAGTTAGCTGGACATGGTGGCATGCACCAGTAGTCCTAACTACTTGGGAGGCTGAGGTGGGAGGAGCGCTTGAACCCAGGAGGTCAAGGCTGCAGTGAGCCATGACTGCACCACTGTACTCCAGCCTGGGTGACAGAATAAGACCCTGTCTCCAAAAAAAAAAAAAAAAGCATTTATTAATTTGGGGTGTGAGTACATAAATGTTGGTTACTTCATTATTTCCATTTCTGTACATTTAAAATATTTTAGAACAAAAAATTAAAGATGAGTCATGCCAGCTATACCAAAAATATCACAATTTAGTATAAAACAGAGGCAATGAAAACATTGTGCTACTTTCTTTGAAATAGAAAAGTAGATCAATGCAACAGAATGAAGACAGAAAAAAAATTAGACTTCAGTTCTCTTATGGATTTTTAAATTCTTATAGTCAGTATATGCAAAAAATAGAAGTTGAATTATTTGATTTGTCATTTAAAAATATTATAATGTTTACATATGTTTACTTTAAGAATGATTTAAGGCTACAGATGGAAGCCCAACGCATTTGCCTCTCTCTGGTTTATTCAACTCATGTGGATCAGGTCCGTGAATATATGGAAAATGAAAAAGATAAAGCTCTTTGCAGTCTTAAAGAGGAGCTTATTTCTGCTCAAGAGGAAAAGATCAAGGAACTTCAGAAAATACACCAGTTAGAGCTACAGAATACGAAAACTCAAGAAACAGGTAAAATGGTTTCTGACTTATAAGTACCATGATCCAAATAAGTATTGGATAGAGCCCGCCATTCTATAATTTTTTCCTTGTCATAGAACCCACAGAGGAAGGTGATTTCCAGTTGTTGATATAATCACTAGGCATTCATTTAAGTGCTTGAGAAAGCTGAAATCATTTTCCAATAGGAAGTCACAATCCACTGAGAAAGTATATATAAAATAAACAATTTATCCAGCAGAAGAACGAATAGAAAGAATGGGAGGAGAAAGGAGAAACATCTAGTGCTTCCTGGCAGGATGAGTAGGGTGAGGTGGGAGACAGAGTAGTGGGGTTGGAATTTTAAGGGAGGCTCTGGAGTCCTTAGAATTGAGGTATAAAGGTACACCCATTTTGAAAAATTGAGAGTTCAAGGTGTGTGAGAAAGTAGTTGGGGTTATAGCTGGAGAGATTGGCAAGAGCTTGATTAGAAAAAGTTTTGTTCTGAAAGAAGCATGTATAAGCCTTATGCTGTTGGTGATAAGACCTACTACAGGGTTTTAAATAGAATAACACAATATGGTTTTTATTTTATGATGACACCACTGGGGTGAGTTGGAGGAGGTGAGATTAGTGATTAGAACACCAGGTAAGCAACTAAGGCTATCGTTTCCATAAACAGTAAGTATTAACTAAATGTTAATGAGGATGGAAAAGAAGTTTGCATTCAAAAGTAGAAATTTGAGAATGGCTTAAATAAGAGTACAAACTTTTAAAATTCAGGAGTGCTTTGGGTTTTAATTTAATAAGATTTTAAGCATGTAATATTTTCATTGATGTCCTCTTCAAACAGGTTAGTGTTTTTCAAACTAGAGGCTAATTAATAGGTCCATTAATGGGTGGTGAAGTCAGTTTAGTGAGTAATGATCAACATTTAAAAAAAAAAAAACAGAGTAGAACAGAAAACATTGGAGTACATGGCACTATAGTAGAAGAATAAATATTGATTTCTGAGATTTTTATTTCAGTTTTACATAGATGTATGTAATAGGTTATGATATATGATGCGTTTTTTTATGTTGGGTTTTAGTAAAAAGAAGTCACTGCTTTGTACCATTTTGTGGATAGAAGTGGAAAATCTCACAAATTTTCTGAGACAATGTTGAGCAATGGAAAATAACTCAAAGAAATAAAGAATTTAAAATGATTCTTATTGCAGGGGAGTTTCCAGTTGAAACATAAGTTAAATATTATCATAGTTCTTAAGTATGTAAATTGAATCTCTTAATCCATCTGTTCTATTAGGTGATGAAGGAAAGCCTTTACATCTGCTCATTGGAAAACTTCGAAAGGCAGTGTCTGAAGAATGTTCTTATTTTTTACAGGTAAAATGTTTAAAAGTACTTTTATGGCCAGGTGTGGTGGCTGACACTTGTAATCCCAGCACTTTGGGAGGCTGAGGTGGGCGGATCACTTGAGTTCGAGACCAGCCTTGCCCACATGGTGAAACCTGGTCTCTACCAAAAAATACAAAAATGAGTCTGGCGTGGTGATGTGTGCCTATAGTCCCAGTTACTGGGGAGACTGAGGCATTGGAATCGCTTGGGCTTGAAAGGCAGAGGTTGCATTGATGAGTGGAGATCATGCTACTGCACTCCAGCCTGGGTGACAGAGTGGGACTCTGTCTCAAAAAAAAGAAAATAATAATAGATTTTTAAAAATAAATAAAAAGTACTTTTACACAAGGAGTGCTAAATTATAAGTTGCTACTAATTTGATGATCACCCAACCTAGTTTTCTCCACTACCTTACTTCAGAACTGTACTTAGAAAGTGTTCCTGAGTTTTTAAGTTAAAATGAGCATTAAAAATTTTCCTGATAATCTGTTTGAAACAAAAGAAATTCTGGTAAATTATCTCACCTGTAGAACAGACAGTAATTGTTGATGTTGCCATAGATGAGTTACAAGGACAAGATGGAAACATCCTGGGAGACTGTGTAGAGTGAGCCAAAACACTAAGATGGCACCCATCTTTCTGGGTCCCAGTTTCTTTGTCTGTAAATTGGGTGATTGTTTACGGTTTCTAAAATCAACTCTAATGTGAAAAAACTGCATCTTAGGGGCTATGCTGAAAATTTAATAAACTTAATTATTAATTGACAGTATAGTTTAAGCAAATCTCAAGAAATCTGAAGAAATAGCAGTGAACAATTTGATTTTTAAGTCTAGAAGTTGGTGGTGGTAATTTTTTAGTTATATGAGGAACAAAGGTAAAAGTTATTTGAAAGCTTATCAAATGATTATGGGGCATGTATTGTTTTAAATGATGATAGAATTGTCTGTTGCCCAGGAGAAGAACCAAAACAATGTGTCACATATTTTCAATTTTTGTGTGTGTATATAAATTACATAAAACTATTCTCGTGTGTTAGGAATCTTTTTTGTTTTTCTTTTTTTATTTGAGACAGAGAGTCTTGCTCTGTCGCCCAGGCTGGAGTGCAGTGGCACAGTCTCCGTTCACTGCGACCTCTGCCTCCCAGGTTCAAGCTATTCTTGTGCCTCATCTACCGAGTAGCTGGGATGACAGATGCAGGCCACCACGCCCGGCTAGTTTTTGTATTTTTAGTAGAGATGAGGTTTTGCCGTGTTGGCCAGGCTGGTCTCAAACTCCTGACCTCAGGTGATCCACCTGCCTCGACCTCCCAAAGTGCTGGGATTATAGGCGTGAGCCACTACGCCTGGCCTCATGTGTTATGAATATTATCTTAAGTATATGAATGTAATTCTCTTGCTTGATATAATTTCTTTAGAATTTATAGATTTCTTTCTGATCAGCATTTCTGAACTTCCGTCCTTGTCCTGTGGTGTTTTTTCAAAGGTATTTGAGATTACAGAGATAACATCAGAAATAGGATCCAAGCTAGGAAGTAGTTGATTAAAGTATAAGATAAATTCTATTATTATAAGGAAGCAAAAAAAATTATGGTTTTTTGCAATGAAGATTATTATCTTCCTGATATAAGAAGATTTCATGCCAGAGAGACAGAGAAATTTAGACTTGTTTCTTTTGCAGATTGATAAGGGTATGGAGAGAAGGTTTTCTTAATTATTTTTATGTGCCATTTTGACTGCCTTACATCAAGGAGAATAATGTTTAATGATCTAAAGATCATTCTAAAGAAGTAGAAATCAAAATTTAAATTCCTTAAAATACCCAATTTTGTTGTTGACAGACTTTATGCAGTGTCCTTGGTGAATATTATACTCCTGCTTTAAAATGTGAAGTAAATGCAGAAGATAGAGAGAATTCTGGTGATTACACTTCTGAAAATGAAGATCCAGAATTACAAGATTATAGATACGAAGTTCAAGGTAATAAAAGCTTACCATACTATTAAACAGTATTTAATCCTCTTAATTGATGACAGATCTTTCCTTTTTATTATGATTTAATCACCCAGCCAAGTTGTTTATCATCTTAACATCTTATCCTCCTTTCACGTTCATGAAATCTTATATTTAATATACATTTAAAATTTTTGTAGTGCGATAATGGTGATATGAAGATAATTGGAGCTGTCCACTATTGTCTATCCTCTATCTCTCTACTCCTATCTTTTTCCTTATCCTAATTCTTTCTTTTAACTTTTTATACCATAGATCCAAATTTTTAAACGTTATTGTATTTATTGAATAAGTTCATGTCAATGGTTTTTGCTTTAAAATGAGTAAGATTAACATTAAGAAATAAGAAATATATTGGTATCTTTCTTAATATAGATCTGCTATAAGTCTGTTTTAGCAAATAGTAACCTCACACTTTTTTGATGTTCTTTCACAGATAAAATGTTTCCTGGCCCTGTCCATTTGTATAGATAATGAACAAAATGTGTATAAATTAATGACTACCAAAAGAAATTAACATATTTTAATATGAAATTTTCAGGTTATCTTCGTAGCAGGCATTTCACATGAATGAAATTTCAATTTTTAGTTACTAAATATCTGAGGTTTACTTCTAGCAGGCAATTTTTTTAAGTTATAAATAGGTGAATAATATTTATTGGAAGATGCAGACTTTTACTGTGAAGTGAAATTATTATAATTGTTTACCATCCAGACTTTCAAGAAAATATGCACACTCTTCTCAACAAAGTAACAGAAGAATACAACAAACTCTTGGTACTTCAAACACGACTAAGCAAGGTCTGTGAAATGGAAAATGTATTGTAATATTTGCATTTATTGTATTACCTGCTTTTTTATAAGCTGCTTTTATCAACCAAGAATTTCTAAAATAAGAGAACGTGAAAAAGGAGATTGGGAAAAGCGATATATATTTGTAGTAGATAATTTATATTGGTAAGCTAAAAGAATTTCTGCAAGTCAAATAATAACCCCTTTAGAGAGTTTTTAGAATTATGATAATTTAAAATATATATAATGTATCAACTGGTAAACTGTGTGAAACAATTGCATTTAATTTTACTTATAAAGCAGTGGGCCTTCTGTTTTAGAGAAAATTGGTAATGAGTTTAGTTGCTTAGTACATAGCTAATTAGTTTCACACAGCATTATATATGTCAATTTTATGTTCAAGCAATTTTTAAAAACGTCTATAGAAAACTAGGTAAGATAGTTTTCTATCATGGCACAGTGTAATTTATTAACTCTATCAGTAGAACAACGTAAGGCATATATTTGCAAGGATAAATGTAATTCTCATGTAGAAAGAAATCCAGAAAAGATGTCTATGTGTATTTTTGGGGGGTGCTTTTTGATGTTCAGTTAATTATTAAAATGTTTAGGCAGATTTGAAAGATTTAATTGATAGTGAAAGTTATAATGTTGATGAGTTATGTTTTGGCTGAAATTCTTCCTCTCCATCTCTCTGCCCTTCTTTCTTTCCCTCCTGTTTCTTCTTCCCCACTCTGTTTCTGTGCAATTAAGTACAACCTTATCTAGCCTTTCCAAAAATCTATAAACCTACTCCAGTAGATTTATATGAGTAGAATCTATTTTGGTTTCATCTCTTATTTTCTTGTACATTATGGATTTATGCCTTTTAAATATTCTTTACTATCATTTTAATTGCGTAATCAAAAGGGAAGAGGTTTGCGTCACTAATCACAAATGTAAATGACTACATTAATTTAGTTAATAAAATAAATGAAGAAGGCCAAGGCCAAGTGAAACCTGGAGAAAACATGCTTCATCCAAAAGGGGCTGCAGCTGCCCAGCTTATGCATCTTGTTGCCATTAAGTAGGAATCAGGGCCCAGTGTTGCTAGTACTTTTAATCTATTAATTTTATATGGTTTTTTTTCTTTTAAAAATATTAGGAAATATAAACCGGGCATGGTGGCACATACCTGTCCTCCCTGCTACTTGAGAAGCTGAGGTGGGAGGATCACTTGAACCTAGGAGTTTGCGGCTGCATGAGCTATGATTGTGCCACTGCACTCCTGCCTGGGCAACAGAGCTTAAGACCTCATCTCTGAAAATATAACACACACACACACACACAGAAATATTCAAAAATAAACGGTTTCTATTTTAAGGTTGGGAAACAGAAAGCAGCCAGACAACAACAAAAACTGTTTTGTCCCCAAAAGAGCACTATAAAAGTATAGACTGGATTTAAAGTTCAAGCCTTCACTTTGTAACCTCAGATATAAACACATGCTCAGTGTACTATCTTGAACTAGTTTTCTTTTTACTTTAATCTATTATTTCTCGACTGTAGTATTTGCTGCTTTCTGATAATATTTTCTTCCCTTAGCTTCTGTAGCTTTTCAAGCCTCCATTTTGGACTTTAGCTACCCTGTCTATTTTACCAGGGATCTTTATTTGATCCTCTTAATCTGAATGCTTTTTTCATCTCCTTTCATTGCTTCTAGATCTCTATGTTTAGGTCAGTCCTTCTGAGCTGCAGAGTCATATATCTCATCAGTTATCTCTACTCAAAACTCTTGTAGGTATGTTTCAATCGGCATATTGAAATATGAATTTATTAACTTCTGCTGCTTAAACCAGCTTCTCTCGTCTCAGTTTCAAGGAACAACATTCAACCAGAAACTTGGGGATTTGTCTTACATAATCTTCTCTTTTCACTCCTGGTCTTCTACCATACTGATATATATACTGAAGGGAGTATAAAGAATATGAAAGAAAAACTTATACTTTGTTCTCATTCAGTTATCCAGTCAATTTTTATTTTTATTTTACTGTACTTTTTTTTTTTTTTCTCTGAGACAGAGTCTTGCTCTGTCTCCCAGGCTGGAGTACAGTGGCACGATCTCGGCTCACTGCAACCTCCACCTCCCAGGTTCAAGCGATTCTCCTGCCTCAGCCTCCTGAGTAGCTGGAATTACAGGCAAGCTCCACCACACCCAGCTAATTTTTGTATTCTTAGTAGAGACGGGCTTTCACCATGTTGGCCAGGCTGGTTTCGAACTCTTAACCTCATGATCTGCCTGCCTTGGCCTCCCAAAGTGCTAAGATTACAGACGTGAGCCACCGTACCCAGCCTACTTACTTATTTATTTATTTATTTATTTATTTATTCCTTAGATCTAAGGACAGACTGGACAGCCAATATTTATTATTTGCTAATTAAATGCCAGGTTGTTCTATGTACTGGGAATAAAGTAATGAAGTCACCAGACTGAAGACATGTATAAATTAATGGGATTTATGAACTAGTTTAAGGAATGTCATATACATATATACTATTTTACACATATATATATACACACACACACACATACATAAAATAGTTTTCCATGGCAACATTCTAGTAGGTGTTTAGAAGAGAAATGTAAGGCCGAGCATGGTGGCTCATACCTGCAATCCCAGCACTTTAGGAGGCCAAAGTGGGCCAATCACCTGAGGTCAGGAGTTGGAGACCAGCCTGGCCAACATGGTGAAACCTCATCTCTACTAAAAAAGACACAAAAATAATTAGCTAGGTGTGGTGACATGTGCCTATAATCCCAGCTACTTGGGAGGCTGACACAGGAGAATCGCTTGAAACCAGAAGGTGGAGGTTGCAGTGAGCCAAGACTGCGCCACTGCACTCCAGCCTGGGCAACAGAGTGAGACTCCATCTCAAAAAAAAAAGAGAAAAGAAAAGAAATGTAAGTAAATACGTTTGCTTAACAGGTAGATGAATATAGCAAACAGGTAGATGTCTTTTCTGCACAAGAGGTAATAAGAAGATATCGTATTTGAATTCTGTAAATTAGCTGCAATTAGAGAGGCATTTCAGAGTTACTTTGGGATCAGGATCAGCACTGCAATACATCACTGCCTAACTTTTTGGCTTCATCTTCTAATCTTCCTCCTCATTTCAGCCATACTGAAATACTTAGTTTCCCAAATGCACCCTGGGCTTTTTTGCATGCTGCCCTTTCTGCATAATACTGCCCATCCCCTCCCAGCCTTTTTGGTTTGTTCCCACTTGTTGCAGTTGGTTCAAATGTTTACTCCCTCTGTGTCATCTGCTTTACCTATCTTCCTAGGCTTAGGCATTTATTCCTCTGTTTCCTTAGCAACAGTACAGGCCTTGCTTATCGTGCTTCTCTTTTTTCGTTACTTTATTTTTTTTTATTTTTTATTTTTTTTGAGATGGAGTCTCCCTCTGTCGCCCAGGCCAGAGTGCAGTGGCGCGATCTAGGCTCACTGCAAGCTCCGCCTCCCAGGTTCACGCCATTCTCCTGCCTCAGCCTCCCGAGTAGCTGGGACTACAGGCGCCCATCACCATGCCCAGCTAATTTTTTTGTATTTTTAGTATAGACGGGGTTTCACCATGTTAGCCAGGATGGTCTTGATCTCCTGACCTCGTGATCCACCCGCCTTGGCCTCCCGAAGTGCTGGGATTACAGGCATGAGCCACCGCGCCTGGCCTTTTTTCGTTACTTTAAATACTTGATTACCCTTCTGTCCTTCCTCCATGTTCCTATAGCTTCTTATACGCATTTGCTTTTGTATCACATTACTTTTCATATTATATAATTGTTTGTTTACCATTCTGCCTCTTTCACTATTATTCTAAACCCTTTGGAATCAGGGAATCTTCTGTTTATTTTTGTTTCCTCCTCTTATCACAGTGTTAGCATACAGTAAAGGCTTAATAAATGTTTGCTGAATGAGTTAGAAAGGTTGGACTAGAAACTTAATAATTTACCCAATTATCTTTATTTTCCCTGGGAACTAAGAGGCAAGATCTCTGTTGAAACGTACTCATGGGGTAGGAGTTGGTTAGAGGATTTATAAGAGTAGTGGACAGTTAAAACAGCCTTCTTGGCAAATAGCTTTTTTTCTTTTGCTCACCTGCTTCTACAGTATCCTTTGTTCATCTGGTCTTGCAAGTCCAAACTCTTTCCCCTTGCTTTTAAAGTCTTAACGTAATTTGGATCTATCTTATTTAACTAGCTTTATTTCCCCCTCTGTATCCAAATTAAACTCTTCTCAAGAAGATCATTGTCAATTATGGCATATGTCATTCTTTCATAAATTTTCTTACTCTTTCTTCCTTAGAGCCTTCCCAAATCATTGCCAAAAATATATGAGCCTAAATCAAAATTGACTTCCATAATTATTCAGATCCACATCAGTCTTCTTTATCATTGTAGTTATAGTCAAATTTTATAGTTTAGCCGTTCTCTAATTGTTTATTTTCCCATCTGATTGATGAATTCCATGCAAGCAGATATATTGTTATTTTTTAAACGGATTTTATATTTTTACTATCTCTTGTCACAGTGCTGGTCACATTGATTATTAAGTATTTGATGAAAGAATAAATTAGTACACACAGGTATCTGACACATTGCTGCTTAATTTTATTTGTTTATTTACTTATTTTTTTGAGGCAGAGTCTTGCTCTGTCTCCCATGCTAGAGTTCAATGACTCAATCTTGGCTCACTGCAACCTCCCCTCCCCAGGTTCAAGAAATTCACCTTCCTTAGCCTCCCAAGTAGCTGGGATTACAGGTTTGCGCCACCACACCTGGCTAATTTTTCAATTTTTAGTAAAGATGAAGTTTCACTATGTTGACCAGGCTGGTCCTGAACTCCTGACCTCAGGTGATCCACCCACCTCGCTTTCCCAAAGTGCTTGGATTACAGGCTTGCTGCTTTTTAATAGTTAAGGAAATGAGCTGAGATTTATCTATTTTCATTCTTTTCTTTTCTTTTGTTTACTGTACAGAGCAGCATACCATTTGTCAGTTACCTGGTTGTACATAGGACATATCTAGAGATACATAAGCTGTATTAATCAAGTATTGGTAATATAAAATTTATTATGTACAAATTGAAATTTCAAAGACCAGGTTATACTATAAATATTGTTATCAGCTTTCTACCAAAATTCTCAGAAGCACTTGTTTTTGTAGTAAAATGAACTTCCTTTTAGATATCAAAGAACATTACTAACATAATTTCAGTGCTATGAAAGGTATGGAATATGAATTACTGTTACAGAAGAGAACAGGGAATAACTTAGAAGGGAAAACACTTGTATTAGAGTGCCACAATTTTGGGTGGTTTTAAAAAAGCATCTTAATGCAGAGTTGCGTTAATACAGCTTTCTAATTGCTGGATTACGTATTTATGTTACTGCTTTTATTCTGTGGTTTTCAATAGATTTGGGGACAGCAAACAGATGGTATGAAACTTGAATTTGGAGAAGAAAACCTTCCAAAAGAGGAAACAAAGTTTTTATCAATCCATTCTCAGATGACCAGTTTGGAAGACAGTGGTAAATTTTGATCATATACCACAATGTGGTGTTTTTATACCAAATATTGAGTAATTTGCTTTTTTACTTTAAAATTTGAGCTAACATAGTGACGTTGGGCATTTCACTGTAGCCTCTCTGATCTCAATGTTTTCATCCTTAAAATGAAAGATTTGGGTTACTTATCTATTTGGTCCTTTTTCACTTCTTATGTTCTATTATTGTAAATTGTTTTAAATTTTAAAGATATAAAATGTTGGATTTAGGAGTACTGCAGCATGAGGATCAAAAAGATGATCTTGAATTGTACTATTTATATTTTCTTGTTTTCATCAGAATGAGTTTAAATTGAAACCAGAGTTATTACCACTAAAAACATACTCTTTCAAAAAAGAATATTTTCTGTACACAGTGATTGTGCTATTTCACTAAGAAACTTCTGTTGAAGTGTGCATTTTTTGTCTCTTTATATAACATAGATGTCAATCATAAAAGCAAGTTATCTTCTCTACAACATCTTGAAAGAACTGAACAACTTGAAGAACAAGTTCAAGAATTAGAAAGCCTCATATCCTCTTTGCAGCAACAATTGAAAGAAACTGAACAAAGCTATGAGGCAGAGATCCACTATTTACGGAAGAGGCTTCAAGCTGTTAGTGAGTCCACAGTTCCGCCAAGGTATTCATCTGCTTATAGCTTCATTCAACAGTATTTGTAGCTTTGTAACAATTATAGTATCATCTAGAATGGCTATTTACAAAAAGTAACTTAAGCAAAGTTGCTGAAAAGAGATAGGATGCAGCATTTTTAAGAAAGAAGAGCAGGAGATCATTCTATATCTTTGAAATGCCTGAAATAAATGTTGATGTAAATCAAAGAGATTATAGGAATTCTACTTAAATTTTTACATTATAAAGATGTTGGTTGTTGTTAATCTGCTTAATTAAATCAGCAGTGTGCATGTATTTGCAGTTTATTCTGTACCTAGTCTTTGGTACTTTGATATGGTGGATACTTAAGGAATATAAGATAGGATCATTCCAGTCATGGCAGGATTTCACTTTGTCTCATGTTCAAATTAACCACGTCCAAAGTAGAACTCTGGATCTTCTCAAAATTTGCTCCTTCTGCAGTTATATCCATCTGTCGTTACTCCTCTTTCTCTTATACCTCTTTTCTAGTCTATCAAGACATCCTGTTTTCTCTGCCTTCAAAAATATATCCAAACTGTACCACTCCTTAAAACCTTGCTGGTCTCTGCCATCCTTTTGTCTCACCTGGATTACCCTAACTCCTCCCTAAAGTCTGTTCTCAACACAGTTAGAGCAGGTGCCAGAATCTTGCTTTTAAAATTTAAAATAGATTATATCATTCCAAAGCTCTTCTGTCCTACATGATGAGTACCCATTACTTTTCTGACTTTTAATCTCCTACTGACTTGTCTGTCACTGTCTTCTGACCCCAAGATGCTGTCACCAGTAACAAGCATTATCAGTATGCTTCTGCTTTAGGGACTTCTCATTGGCTGTTCCTTCTACCTAGAATGGTCTTCCTCCAGATATGTGCCTGGCCAACACCCTCACCTCCTTTGGAGCATTACTCAAGTGTCATGTTATCATGAGGCTTTTCTTAATCACTCTGTGTAAATTAAAATTGTCTCCTAGAATGCTGATTCCTATTTCCCTACTTTACTTTTTCTATATTACTTAATATTGTCCATTTATATATATGTATACATTATACACATTTTATATAGTATATATTACATATATAACTAGGCTGGTTGTGGTGGCTCATGCCTGTAATCCCAGCATTTTGAGAGGCGGAGGCAGGCAGATTACCTGAGGTTAGGAGTTCGAGACTGGCCTGGCCAATATGGCAAAACTCCATCTCTACTAAAAATACAAAAATTAGCCAAGCATGGTGGCTTGCACCTGTAATCCCAGCTACTCAGGAGGCTAAGGCATAAGAATCACTTGAACCTAGGAAGCGGAGGTTGCGGTGAGCTGAATTCGCACCACTACACTCCAGCCTGGGTGACAGAGCAAGACTCTGCCTGAAAAAAAAAAAAATATATATATATATATATAAAAACACCAAATATATGTAAATTTGGAGGGGGTGGATTCATTTTTATTTTGTTTATTGTTCGTCTCTGGTCAAAGACTTTAAACTTTATAAGGGTGGGGCTCTTTTTCCATTTAGGTCAGTGATATGTCCCAAACACCTAAGATAATTCTCTGCGCATAATAGGTACTCAATAAGTTATTTTTTTAATGAATAAACAGTTTATAATTTAGTTGGGAAGTATGATATAATATATAACTAGCTCTATAAAACCCTCAGAGATTTATTCTAACTTTGGCTGGCTCTGCTATTCTAGCACTGTCTTCATAGGCACTTGCTAGTAAAACCTCAACACAGTTTTTTTGGATAGTGAATGAAAATTGAATGTCTACTTGTTTGGAACTAGTCGTTACTCTTCTGTATTTGGAACCTACATAAGGGCTTTGGAATTGTTTGCTTGGTATTGGCTTAGCCTTATAAAGCTCCCATTTTCTTTGAGATTGGTGGTTTCTAAACATGACCGTACATCAGAAATGGTGGAAGTTTTTGAACTTTAATATAATTTTTTTAATACTTATAATGAAAGATCACTGAATTATAATTTGGAGAGTCATACTCAATAACTTTGAGATGGAATATGGAAATTTGTGTTTTTAACAATATAATTCAGAGGCATGGAACCCATAGATTGACATTTGGAAACCACTGCTTTCTGATATGAAACAAAATAGGTAATTAGGAAGAACTTTCTAATAACCAGTCAGTATTTCAAGTAATCTTCCTTTAATTAATGATGCTTTCTCTCCAAAGCATGACGAAAAGAGAGGCTTCTGGAAACGTAGGCTTACATTGTTATTCCTGCATTTGGGCTTCTGCCAGCTCACCACCCTCTCTCAGAGTTTCTGTAATACTCCGTGGAAATGTGTTGACAATGCCTTTGAACCAAAACCATTCATTTGCTCCCTGCACCCCTACCAAAAAGAGTCTTACTCACCACCATCCTCATTCTTACTAATAGTAATGAGTCAAAATTATTTTTTTGTAAATAGCATCACATATTTTGGACACAACTGTAACACATTTTGAATAGAGTATACTGTTCCCTGTGGGTAGACTTGAAATGGTTAAGAAAAATAATTGAGTCATTCTTTTAACAAATATTGGGTGTTTCATACTAGAAACCTCTAAGAGAAACACTCTGATGTTGGAAAGATCATGGGTTTTAGTCAGACAGATCTGCATTTAACCCTGATTTGACCTTTTACTGACTATATGATCTTGGACAGGTTATTTAAACATCTCTAAATAATAATAGGGATAATAATAATTACCCTTAAGATTGTGAGGATTAAATGAAACAGTAACCGAAAAGAGCCTTAGCTAGATATCCTGGAGGTAGAATTAGATGTTTATGTAAAGTGGCTATTTCCTTCCAGGGACTTCAGTGTAATCACTGAAATAATAATTACTTGCAGTAATTTTTGAAGGTAATGGTTGGGGAATATAACATAGTGATATAACTAAAACGCTGGAATTTAAACCCATCTCTTTGTGGCATTTTTTACTGCACATCTGTAATACTGCCCATTAGAGTAATAACAGCAAAATGGAAATGAAGGATGAGTATTAAGACATTGCAATGGAAGGAATGTTGGAAACAAAGCAGAGGGGAAAAAACAAAGATAACTCTGTGTTGCTTGAGCCTAGGGAATATGGAAAATGAAAGTACATCACATAAATAGGAAATTCAACAGGGGTTGCAGATAGTAGGAGCTTAATTGCAAGAGGGGAGCAGTGAATTAAGTTTATGCCAGACTAGTTTTTCAGTTTGGAGTAAACACTTTCAAATACTGTAAAGCTTAAAGAATGAAGTCATTGTGGACTAAGTAGTACTTTTTGGAGTTTAGATCATAGTGGCTGGATAGATAATCAGGAGGATTTTCTAGGCTGTGAAAATAAGATCCATGACATAAAGCCAGGGATCAGAGGAGTATATACAAGGGACAGTGAGGAAAACAGAGACAAAATAGTAATAAAGAAGAAGCAGGAAAGGGCAGAGAAGAAAGACAAGAAGAACAAGTTTTTAGAAGCATGGGATGGTCATAGAACATGAGAAGGTAGTTCACAGCAGGAAAAACCTAAATGGCCAATAATGTTTGAAAGAAAATGTCTTCTCAAAAATAAAGACATACATATTCTAGCAAAGTTTTACAATTGTTCTGACCCCCGATTGCTGAAGTTTTGAGAAAATACTTAAATGATACAATTTTGATAATAAAATTAATAAAACTTTTTGGAATATAGCCCTGAATTAAAACATGAAATATTAAGTTTAACAATTACTTACAAGATTTTATCATATAGAAACATCCATAGAAGTGTGCCAAGATACATTTGTGAAGATCTGTATTATAGCATTGTTTGTAATGGTGAACAATTGGAAGCAATCAAATGGCCATCATTAGGGGTTTAGTTATATGTTATGAAATGGGATGATGACAACTTTTATCTGCCCAGTTTTGGACGGAATTTAGGATAGAAAAGAATACGAGAAAGAAAGGTATGTGGACAAGAGGAGGGTCGAACTAAGAAAGCAACATAGTTGTACATGAAAATGGGTGTGGAAAATTGTATTTGCCAGAAATGAAAATCATAATTTCCTCCTTTTATTTTTTTCCCATGGTTCTTAAATACTGATCTTAGTTTTTATGACCTAAGTTAAGCATTTTAAGAAAAAAAAAATTTTTAAATAATGAATGCATGTAAAAACTACACAATACAGATGTGAATACCAAAAAATTAAACAAAAAAGTCCAAAAGTGAGTATTTGTAAATTAAGATTCTTCTCTGTACCTCCACTGCTCCTGAGTTCCACTAGAGGTAAACGTTGTTACTTTTGATGTGGACACATAGGAAAAAAATCAAACTTTGTGTATCCAAATATACATATGTATGTTAAAAGAAGTTTCTCATAAAAGTGAGATTTTACAAACTTTTTAAAAGTCACTAATATATCTCAGATAACTTTTAAAAAAAAGTTAATACTGGCCAAGCATAGTGGCTCATGCCTATAATCCCAGCACATTTGGAGGCTGAGGTGGGAGGATCACTTGAGGCCAGGAGTTTGAGATCAACCTGTGTAACATAGTGAGTCCCCATCTCTCCAAAAAAAAGTCAGTATGTATAGTTCCATATCATACATTTGTAGTGTAGGATGACATAAAATTCAGTTGATCATCTGTTAAAATACTGTTACTCAATTGTGTTCTTTTAAGTGGAAATATTAGTCAAAAATATGATTTAAGTTACAATACCTACAACCCTTGACTCATTTTTGTCTCCCATACCCCGTAGATTTTGGATGAACACTAAAGCACATATACAACTCTAATTCTTTAACCTTTTTTATTTATATTCAGCTTCCCTGTTGATTCGGTGGTAATTACAGAATCTGATGCACAGAGAACAATGTACCCTGGAAGTTGTGTGAAAAAGAATATTGATGGTACAATAGAGGTATTATATTTTTAATTTTTATCTTTTAACTGTTATATACACTGATTTTTCTACTATCATTTTTATGTCTGGTTTACTATAGTTGCTGAGAAGTAAGCATAATAAATATGAGGATAATACCTTATATAGAAAACTCAGAATACATAGGTAAAGAAATTTTATCTATTTTTATAGCATAGGAAAAACACAGAGGAAGTTTGAGGGGTTATATTTCCTTTAAATATGTTATAGTTTAAGATTTATCTTGTTTTTTGTAACATGTGGGCTATGTACAAATTAGTTTCAGTGCCCTGGTCAACATAGCTTTGTCTTTCCAACATGGGAATTTGGACCAGGCCATCTCTAGAAAAGTGCTTAGGGGCCAGGCGCGATGGCTCACGCCTGTAATCCCAGCACTTTGGGAGGCCAAGGCATGTGGATCACAAGGTCAAGAGATCAAGACCAGCCTGGCTAACACAGTGAAACCCCATCTCTACCAAAAATACAAAAAATTAGCTGGGCGTGGTAGCACTTGCCTGTAGTCCCAGTCGCTCAGGAGGCTGAGACAGGAGAATCGCTTGAACCCAGGAGGCGGAGGTTGCAGTGAGCTGAGACTGCGCCCCTGCACTCCAGCCTGGGTGACAGAACGAGACTCCCCCATCACAAAAAAAAAAAAGAAAAAAAGAAAAAAGTGTTTAGGAATCCCCAGAATCCAAGACAGTAGGGCTGGGATAATAGATTAGGCCTACTCCAGTAAGGTCCATATGGTATATAAAAGTTCCACATCTTTTACAGCGCATGCCATCTAACTAAACCACCCCCTGCCTCTGCTCAGCATTGTATTATTCTCAATTTCTCACACCTGCAACTTTCTCAAACCTGCAACTGCTAAACCCTGGTCTTCACTCAGTAGATTTTTAGCTCTTAAGTCACAGAAAAAATTAAGATCATCGTTCTTCCTGGCTCAGTATACAGAGGAAAGATGTTAGACATTTCCTTGATTCTGCTACACTCATCCCATATCATGATAATTGCTAAATAAATACTTTCATACTGAGAACATGTTTATATTTTTTTAAAGTTTATAGTTTTTTCTATTGATAACTGTAACTTTGTATTTGTAGAAAATTAGATAGTATTAATAAGTACCAAGAAGAAAAGAAAATTTGCTTGTAATTTTATGAGCAAACAATGCCACTGTTTAACATTTTACTTAAAAGGAAATATATACACACATATATATTGTATTAGTTATATTTAAGTGTCCTTTTCCCACTCTAGAACTGTATGTTGGCATTTATAAATATGTAAACGTATTTCTCTTTGCATCTTTGATTGTTAAGTTCACAGTAGTAAGTATAATTATTTAGTAGAATTATTTACTAAAATTGTTTTTAATTGAGAGAATTAAAATTGATTTTTTTGCTGAAAGTGTGTAGAACTTTTCTAAAAATACTGATACTTTGGGGAGATTTTGAGGTAGAAGTTTAAAAATAAGTGGTGTATAATTAATGTAAATAAATGTCATGGTTTGCTTTTAAATATAGTTTTCTGGTGAATTTGGAGTGAAAGAGGAAACAAATATCGTTAAGTTGCTTGAAAAACAATACCAAGAACAATTAGAAGAAGAAGTAGCTAAGGTAAGCTTATAGCTTATCTGGGAGATTATCTTAGTTTATATTCCCTTTGAGCCTTCAAAAATAGCATGGATTTTATTGATGGTATGTACTTTATTTTTCTAAGTTTCATATATAGTTCATCTTTAAGTGGTTGGATAATGATATCAATTATAGTTGCCTTTAAACAAAATATCTTGTGAACTTTTATTTGAGAAGAGCATTCTTTGATGTAGACTAGTAATTAGAAGCTTTTCAGAATGCCAAAACAAGTCTATATATTTGTTGCCTTGTGAAGGAGTTTGGTCTTCCTTAAAAGTTGGGAAGAAGATAGGAAAAGAAAGAGAAAGTGGTTGGTCCTCTGTGTATATTATCTGTATCTATTTCCAATCAGAAAAGCTTTGTTAGGTAATGACTACAGATACTAAGGGAGGATTATCAGTGAGTATTAATTAGCTCCTGGCTAAGTGAAGGAGTTTATCAGTGTGAGTTTTGCTCATCTCTGTATGCTTATCTGCTGTGTCCAGAGCCGTTCTTTAATATTAGCCATATAACCTAGTGTAACGTTATGGTTCTATTTGTTTTGTCTTTGTATTCCTTTTCAAAATGTGTATACCTGGTTGGCTTTTAATATTGGAACTGGCCAGGTGCAGTGGCTCATGCCTGTAATCCCACCACTTTGGGAGGCCAAGGTGGGCAGATCACCTGAGGTCGGGAGTTTGAGACCAGCCTGACCAAAATGGAGAAACCCCAGCTCTACTAAAAATACAAAATTAGCCGGATGTGGTGGCTCATGTCTGTAATCCCAGCCATTCAGGAGGCTGAGGCAGGAGAATCACTTGAACCTGGAAGGCAGAGGTTGTGGTGAGCTGAGGTCATGCCATTGCACTCCAGCCTGGCCAACAAGAGCGAAATTCCATCTAAAAAATATATATATATATATATATACACACACACACACAGAGGAACTATTGAATTATGAGTTTGCTTTTTTTTTTAATAATATTTCAACTGTCTTAATATAACAATCCCAGTGGAATATGTGGATTTTAAAGGGGTGGGATTGATTGGTAGGATATAAAGGAAATATATAAGGAATTAGGAAAAACATAAATTAGCTGAGGAAGTCAAGACGCAAGGAAATATCTGGGCCATAAGGACCTGTTCACTTATGACTAAAGTGAAAAGTGAAACACTATCATTTTTTTTTTATAGTTTTCAATGTCTAGTTCTTGGAGGAATGCAAGTTTTCTCTTGCATGTAGCTTTTATACAAATTTATCAAATGGAATGGTGTATCAGGGTATAGTAATTAATGTGAGGTTTGGTATTGGATATACCATATTTTAAATTCTTGTTCTTTTGGTTTACTAGATTTGTGACCTTAGGAAAGTTACTTGTGAATCTCAGCGTTTTATATGTTGAAAGAGGAAACTGGCATAGTAGTAATTTTTATAAGGATTCAGTGAGCTAATGCCTACAGAGCAGTTAGCAAATGAGTTGATACATAGTAAAGACTCATAAATATTATCTTAAAAGTAGTCTTATTACTGTGATAATGGTGGTAATATGAAGATGTTTTATAAAGCATTACTCACTCAAGCTGATAGCAAAGCACTAAAGTACCAGTCAGTGAAGACTCTTCTAAATGCAGCCAAGATACTGTGATCCAAGAGACTACATTTGATGGCCCAGCTTGGTCCTAGAATAATACAGATTGTCGACATTAGTCACCAGTACCGATGGGATTATGCTGTACTCTGTACCCCTCAGATATGGTAGAAGAAGATTGAAGACCATTTTTCTTTTTTCTTTTTTTTTTTTTTTGAGACAAGGTCTGGCTCTGTCGCCCAGGCTGGAGTGCAGTGGCGCAATCTATATATATATATACACACACACACACACACACACACACAGAGGAACTATTGAATTATGAGTTTGCTTTTTTTTTTAATAATATTTCAACTGTCTTAATATAACAATCCCAGTGGAATATGTGGATTTTAAAGGGGTGGGATTGATTGGTAGGATATAAAGGAAATATATAAGGAATTAGGAAAAACATAAATTAGCTGAGGAAGTCAAGACGCAAGGAAATATCTGGGCCATAAGGACCTGTTCACTTATGACTAAAGTGAAAAGTGAAACACTATCATTTTTTTTTTATAGTTTTCAATGTCTAGTTCTTGGAGGAATGCAAGTTTTCTCTTGCATGTAGCTTTTATACAAATTTATCAAATGGAATGGTCCTACTCCAGTAAGGTCCATATGGTATATAAAAGTTCCACATCTTTTACAGCGCATGCCATCTAACTAAACCACCCCCTGCCTCTGCTCAGCATT